AGACCGGAGGGTGTGGCGACCGGCGCGGGTGGCGATGTGGCCGGCGGCGAGCGCAGCGGCGAGGGGCGAGGGGCGGCGAGGTGCCTCGGGTGGCGCGCGGCGCGAAGAAAGGCGGCGGCAAAGCAAGCTGGCGGCGGCGTCCCGCGTCTTCCGCCGGCGGCCGGTGGAAGGAGCCGCGGCTCGGGCGGGAGGAGAGTCGGGCGTGGGCGGTGGCGCAGAGATGGGCCGGGCGGGCCGGCCTCGGGCCCGCAGGGCCTTGGCGGGAGGGCGCGGGCGACACATGGCTGCGGCGGATTCGCTGGAGTCGGCGGCGGAGCTAAGGTGGCGTCCTCTGATTGGTGGAGGTGAGGTGGCCGGCGGAGCGGACATGTCCGGGCGGCGCGTGGACGCGTCCGGCGGCGCGAGGGGAAGGATTAGGATTTCGTCCGCGAAAATGGACGGGGAGGGCATATTTATAGGTAGAGGGAGCTAGGAGAGTCCAAATGAGGTGCGGTTTTCGGCCACACGATCGTGATTGAACGCTCTAGATGATGGAGGGGGTTTAGGTGGGTTTTGGGACAAATTGAAAGGGTGTTGGGCTGCAACACACACGAGGCCTTTTCGGTCCCTCGGTTAACCATTGGAGTATCAAACGAAGTCCAAATGGCACAAAACTTGACAGGCGGTCTACCGGTAGTAAACCAAGGCCGCTTGGCAAGTCTTGGTCCAATCCGGAAATGTTTAACCCCCACACATGAAAGAAAGGTAGAAATGACCACCGGAGGAGAACGGAACGCCGGAATGCAAAACGGACAACGGGGAAAATGCTCGGATGCATGAGACTAACATGTATGCAAATGAAATGCACCTGATGACATGATATGCAATGCATGACACGCAAGCAATGACAACGCAACAACAGCGAATAACTGCACGACACCTGGCACATCGGTCTCGGGGCGTTACACCCTCCTTGGGTCCGAATTTGACTAGGGGAAGGGGTCGGTGCCCCCCTTTCCTTCCCTTCCCCCTCTCCCTTCCTTCTTCCCCCTTCCTCCAGGTGGAATCCTACTAGGACTTGGAGTCCTAGTAGGACTCCCCTCTCCTGGCGCGCCCTACAAGGGCCGGCCGGCCTCCCCTCCTCTCCTTTATATATGGGGCAGGGGGCACCCTAGAACACACAAGTTTCTCTTAATCGTGTGTGGTGCCCCCTCCATGGTTACACACCTCGGTCATATCGTCATAGTGCTTAGGCGAAGCCCTGCGCTGGTAACTTCATCATCACCGTCGCCACGCCGTCGTGCTGGCGGAACTCTCCCTCGTCCTCAACTGGATCAAGAGATCAAGGGACGTCATCGAGCTAAACGTGTGCTGAACGCGGAGGTGTCCGGTGCTTGGATCGGTTGGATCGCGAAGACATTCGACTACATCAACCGCGTTAGTAAATGCTTCCGCTTTCGGTCTACGAGGGTACGTGGACACACTCTCCCCTCTCGTTTCTATGCATCTCCTAGATAGATCTTGCGTGGTCATAGGAATTTTTTTGAAATACTGCATTCCCAACAAGTGCCTCCTTCTTTCTCGCATCAGTCGATTCTGCTAGGCGTTGGATTCCAATCCAACGATGGCGTGCTTCTTGAATCTCTCATCTTCTTCCTTCAGCTGACCAAAAGCAGTGTCGGCTAGACCGCGCGCTCCCGCCACCCCGCTGACACACGAGCCTTGCCTCCTCCCCCTCTTCATAGCCGCCCTCGAGGCATTCCTCTAACCCCGACACCTCATGTTATTCTACGGCGATGGAAGCCCCATCCCTCCCTTACCGGGACAAGTCAACCGTCGGAATCCCCATGCCTTTAACCATTCGAGGCCTGGTCATAGTCCTCACGCCCTTGCTGCACTCGCCACAAGGCCGTCTTCATCGGTCTCGACAATACCGCAAAAACGACTGACATAAAAATAGCAAATGAAGGCATAAATGGTTAAAAGTTGATGGCGTCGCTTTGAATGGTGCATACTGAACGCAAAAAATATAAGAGCATTTAGATCATGATCTTATATTTCTTTACAGTCTGAATTGTCAATATGATCTTATACATCAAAAATACTTTGATCATCAATGATCTTTGTGTGTATAATCTGAATTGTCAATATGAGTGCTCAACGATTTATAAACCGATGAAGACTCATATTGCGGCCACAAATTCTACACATAGAGTTCAATGAAGACCAAGTTCTTGTGATAGTTTGAGAAGTAACATATTTAAGGTGGTAAAAGGCTTGTTAGGGGAGCGAGGTGGGACTAAAAACAGCTTGCCATAACCTCATTAGTACCGGTTCGTTTTGTGAAACCATGCCCAATTTCAACATTTTCACAGTTCATTTTGTAGTGATTTTTAATTTCACGGTCATTTAGCTCTCTAAACAATTCGGTAAATGACTGAAAAACAGCAAATGATGTCAGAACGTGTTGGAAATTGATGACGCCGCTTTGAATACTGCATACTGAACGCAAAAGAAGTCGGGAGTTCAAATAAGTATAAAAACATTAAAGTGCCCGTGTAACAGATGAGTTCTCGTCCGAAACCCTGATACTCCGAAAGACATTGTCCAGGTTGTACACGAAGTGCGTCCAGTTTTTGCCGTGACCCTCTCTACTCTTTCGCACATGCTATGCGGGTGAAATGATGATACCATGCCAAATTTCAACATTTTCATAGTTCATTTTGTAGTGATTTTCAATTTCACGGTCATTTAGCTCTCTAAACAATTCGGTAAATGACTGAAAAACAGCAAATGATGTCGGAACATGTTGAAAATTGATGATGCCGCTTTGAAACACAAGAAGTCCGGAGTTCAAATAAGTTATTAAAAATAAAAAAGAGGTGCAATGCTGGTTAATTTGCTTCAAGCCTTTCGAAATAGTGTAGACTGCACTGCACATGACTCAGTGCAATCTATGCTATTCTGAAAGGCTTGAAGCTAAGGAACGTGCAGGTGAGCATTGCGCCTCTTCGTTATTGTCTCTGCACTCACGGCTTATAAACCGCTCATACTGCCTCTCTCTTGGCGAGGTGGGACTAAAAATCAGCTTACTAAGAAACTCTAGTACCGGTTCATGCCATGAACCGGTACTAAAGATCTTCGTGGGGGCCTCAGCCTGACCATAACCTGACACAGCCTCATTAGTACCTGTTCGTGGCATGAACCGGCACTAAAGGTTGCCCACGAACCGGTACTAATGATGCCCGCCCGCCTAGCCGTTGGAACCGGCACTAATGGTCACATTAGTGCCGGCTCAAATTCAAACCGGCACTAATGTGCTTCACATTTGACCATTTTTCTACTAGTGTTTGTATTAAACCCTCTCTTTAATTAATAAAACAAGGCACCGTTCGGCATGAACGATAAGCTATCTCAAAACATAACAAATAAATTAATGAAATGATGCAAAAAATGCATTTATTTTGGGAAATTTTTAATTGAATTTGAAAAAATAACATGGTTGCAAACATTCACTTCAACAATATACTATTCTGAGATTTTCTTGCACTTGTAAGCTTGATTTTAGCGCATGTTTCTCCGTGTAAATAACCTAGGAAGGATATGGAGCTAGTAGCTGCTAACCAAAGTCTAAAGAGCAAAGCAACCAGGTGGAGTAGTGCACCTTGACCACCACACAATGTGCATTGACAAAATTATTGTGAACACACCGAACTTCTGAAACGAGTCTTTACCTACCAAGAACACTACCGACCAGGAGGCCATCGTCATCCCCTCATTGGCCATGCTCAACGGGTCGCCATTGTTGGGGTTGGTGAGAAGATTCCAGAAAGGTAGGTACTTTTGACATGAGCTGCCAGAGGGAAGAGGAGATCGTGTTGGTTCGTTTTCTCCATTCACACTTCTTCACCAACTCCAACCGCAAATTTGACGGAGTACGTTCTCCTGAAAACTGAGGCAGGAGAGACAAGAATAGAGTTTTGGTGAAGTACTAGAAAGCAACAGTGCGTGTAAACCATTTGTAAGACATCATCTCCTATGTCACACCTATGTAAGATCTGCGTACAAAATTCCAGGCATAAATCATCGCCAGTTTCATGCATGGTCCACTTGCATCCACAGGTTATATATATATGGTTCAGGACCTGAGTGTTTTGATTATCATTAATACAAAATGGTTATAGCACCTAAAAATTTCTTGGACGCGCGCAAATTTCTTGGACGTTAGGCAGGAGAGACAAGAATAGAGTTTTGGCGATGTAGAAAGCAATCGTGTGTGTAAACCATTTGTAAGCCATCATCTCCTATGTCACACCTATGTAAGATCTGCGTACAAAATTACAAGCATAAATCATCGCCAATTTCACGCATGGTCCACTTTCATCCACATGCTATATATATGGTTCAGGACTTAAGTGTTTTGATTATCATTAATACAAAATGGTTATAGCTCAAACCTAAAAATTCCTTGGACGCGCGCAAATTTCTTGGACGTTAGGCAGCAGAGACAGGAATAGAGTTTGGTGATGTAGAAAGCAACAGTGTGTGTAACTCATTTGTAACTTGTAAGCCATCATCTCCTATGTCACACCTATGTAAGATCTGCGTACTTCCAAATATAAATCATCGCAAATTTCATGCATGGTCCACTTGCATCCACAGGTTATATATATGTGGTTCAAGATATGAGTGTTCTGATTATCGTTAATGCAAAGTGGTTATATATGCTATCTCAAACCTAATCTAATACGGACCTGTGTCGTTTTATATTTCCCACACACAGAGCATGTTTGGAACGCGAGATTCATTTTGCAAGATAAATTCATGTCCTAAAAAATTTCTTACTCTCTCGGAGCATGACAGAAATTCTACTTTTGGATTCCTCTGTTCTCTTCCAACGTTATTTTGTGCCAGGAAAAGCTTAAGAGAAAACTACTCCTACCTGTCAGGCGTGCTTGGGAAGACCCTTAGTAAAAAGTGGTGGTAGGTGAAGAGGTTTTTCTTGCTAGGCATAATAATGCATGTATACAAAGTACGTTGGTAGGTCGTGCCCTGGCCTCCACTACGCGCTGCATTTTCTTTCAGCAAAGTGTCACCGCTACTCAGCTGCCACTAGCTTAGCCCAGGACCCACCCAACACATTAAGCTGTCCGCCTCCTGCTCCAACAACGCCACACATTCCCCACATCCATTTCGATAAGGATCCCAGAGCTCCAGCTCCTCCTGCGTCGCCTCCAATGGCGGCTGCCGCTGCTTCCACAGGTAACAAGTGCGCAAAGAAAACTGAGGAGAAACAATGCGGCGGCGGTTTTGGTGATCGGATGCGTGCATGCATGCATGCGTTGCCGTGTACGTCCGGTTCGTTAACATGTTGTGCGTCGGTGGTGTGCAGGGAACGGGAGCCCGCCGGTGGGTCTGCTGGTGCTGATGGTGCTGGCATTGGCGGCCGGGTGGTTCGCGAACGCCGTCCGCCCGCCGCCGCCGACGCCGTGCGGTGCGCCCGGCGGGCCGCCGGTGACGGCGCCGAGGGTGCGGATGCGCGACGGGCGGTTCTTGGCGTACGCCGAGTCCGGCGTGAGCCGGGACGGCGCGCGGTTCAAGGTCGTCTACTCGCACGGCTTCTCCGGCAGCCGCATGGACTCGCCCCGCGCCTCGCAGGCGCTGCTGGAGGAGCTGGGCGTGTACATGGTGGCGTTCGACCGCGCCGGCTACGGCGAGAGCGACCCGGACCCGCGCCGGTCGCTGGAGAGCGCGGCGCTGGACATCCAGGACCTCGCCGACGCGCTGGACCTCGGCGACAAGTTCCACCTCATCTGCTCCTCCCTCGGCTGCCACGCCGGCTGGGCCTCCGTCAAGTACATCCCACACAGGCTGGCCGGAGTGGCGATGATGGCGCCGGTGATAAACTACCGGTGGTCGGGGCTGCCGAGGGGGCTGGCGCGTCAGCTGTACCGGCGCCAGCCGCTGGGTGACCAGTGGTCGCTCCGCGTGGCCTACTACGCGCCGTGGCTGCTGCACTGGTGGATGAGCCAGCCATGGCTGCCCACCTCCACCGTCGTCAGCGGCTCCGGCTCCTTCCCCAACGCCCTCGACGAGAAGAACCGCCTCATGGCCCTCTCCACCGGAATGTTCCAAAAGGTTCGTCGTCCCTTCCCTCAGCTCCCCCATTGTCGATCTCGATCCAAGCCTCGGCGATACGACCCTGACGCGACGATCGTGCGCTTTGCTTTGCGCAGAGGGCACAGGCGGCCACGCAGCAGGGGGGGCAGGAGTCCTTCTACCGCGACATGGCGGTGATGTTCGGGCGGTGGCCGGAGTTCGAGCCGACGGACCTCGGGGAGGCGCCGCCGTTCCCGGTGCACCTCTTCCAGGGCGACGAGGACGGTGTCGTGCCGGTGCAGCTGCAGCGGCACATATGCCGCCGGCTCGGCTGGGTCGGCTACCACGAGCTCGCCGGGGTGGGGCACTTCCTGTCGGCGGTGCCGGGGCTCGGAGACAGGATCATCGGCACCCTATTGCCAGGGCCGGCGGGTAACAGCTCGACCGCCGCCGGCAGCGTCTGTGCGTACTGATACCAAAGACGACTGATGACTGATCTTCAGTAGGTAGAGGACTGTAGGAAGCAATGCTGAAGAAAAAAGATTTTTCTCTCCGTTCCAAATTCATAAGATCTTCTAAGTTTTTCTGATTCAGATGTAAGTGTGTTTGTTCACTTATTTCAGCATGTATGTAGTCCGTATTGAAATATGTAAAACATCTTATAATAGTGGACAGAGGAAATGCATTTCATGTGAGCTCAGCAGAACCACTACTGTACTGTACAAAGAAACTGAAGAGATTGTGGCATAATCTATATATCATCAGGGGGTAATTTGATGTCACGTTACATAGAATCTTATCACCGGGATCAGAAGAAGCAAAAAACAACCCCATCCAAACCGTATAATTTACATGCAGCTACAGAACAGTAACTGACTAGTGATTTTCAAGCTATGATCTAGACTCACTCACAGTCTCATGACACAACACAGTAGATATGAGCCGAATGTTACAATACAGTGAAAACTACGGCAGCCAAAAGCTGCAGGATGGATCACCAAAACACCAAAATCTTGGCTGTAAAACGGGAGAAAAAGAAACACAGCCGGGGAGGAAAGAATAACCGCTGATCATCTCCCGCATTGAGCTGCGATGAATCCAAATATATTCACAACCAGGAAGGGGAGGAATCAAGCATTGATTTCCGCATTGCACTGCTGCTCCCTCTGACAGCTTCTGCGACTCCAGAACATGCCTGAGCAGGTGGTCCGGTCAACGTCCTGCTCTCCCCTCTTATCCAGCTCTGTGCTTGTGCTGTGCGAGGGCCGCGGAGATTGCACCTCGGAGCCATCCAGCGTTTCTGTTGAGCCGCATGGATCGTCGTCACTGCACCTGCAGGTTGGGAGGGCGGACGACGGAAATGGGCTGCAGGTCAGTGGACAGACTAACTCGGAAGAGAGAGCTGCCACACGGTTGCGCCTGATTTCAGCTTTACAGACAGTTGCTGGGGAGTCCACAGAACGGGTATTCAGAATGCATGGATTGCAGAATGTGAGTGCTGAGCTTGATTTGAGCCCTTCTGTCGGTGTGCTCGGTAGCTTAGTGAATGACATTATTCCATTCCTGCAGAGAGGGCATGGTATTGACCCAGCTGGGCCTGTGAACTCCACACGGACGTTGCTGGTTGAGCAAAGATAGAGAGCACATTTGATGCAGAACTCGTGACCACAGCCTGAAAGAACAGAATGTAATGTTAGGATACCACCATTGCATTTTTCATCTGGTGGTGTACTGTAATGTGATGTACATGAGCAAGTGAAATCCTATTGAAAAAACATGACTTAATAAACCTTAAACTCACTCCACACAGGCAGGTTCAGGTTATTTCGTATTCGGTTTCATGTTTCTGCCATTATCACTGTTTATTAGAATTGTTTGAAACAAGGGAATTCACAAAAGGGTGGCATCATACGACCCTGCAAGGATACAGAAATATGAGCCTCATTTTCAGATTACTATGACACTGAATGATTGCCCCAACTTATTGAGTGTTTCGAGTTTGTGATAAAAGAAAATAGTCTTAGGTGTTCTAACTAAGTCAATAACAAATTTCAATTTTCAAGTGCTAAGATGCATAGTGTTATTCTCTAACAAAAAAAAATGCAAGGATAGCGAAGATGACTCATTGGTGCATATCCAAGCTTAGAATGTAAATATGAACAAATGTAACATATTCAAAATAGATGGAGCTTACTAGATAGGATTAGACAGGACTATGTCCATCTCTTGACAAATTGTTATGATAGTTTTTATCCTATGATCGTTGAGCAGTCTGTAAAATATGATTATGCCCTTAGTTAAAAAATGGGACAATGTTCATGCAAAGTGTGTCATGTAGCCCCCACCTTCAGCAGCTACAGAGCAAGACCTTTCCAGGCAAACTGCACAAAGGTCACTCTCATCCACCGAGGATACAGTGTGTTGCAACCCAAATTCTCTGCAAAGCATATAAAAGAAATCTATAAGCAAAAGAGCCGACAAGTGCACTCCTCATTTTGAATATTGAACATGGAAGTGTCGATAATTGAAAGCATTATCTGGTGTCTGAACAACAAGCAGTTGTATCAAAGGTGAAATAAGTCAAGAAAGGCACACTCAGCTCACTACGGTAACAACACCATAAAGAGTGAACTCATTGAAGATAACAAAACACAAGAAGATGTAAAAATATTTGCTCTATGTCCGTTCCAACTCAAGAACAGACTTTGGCAATTGCCTCGTTCAGGTATGCCTTTCTGCAAGTAACATTGCAGAAACCATTGCAATTCCGCAAGATACATAAACTGGCCCAATTGATTATAAGAACCAAATCAGCTGGTATGCAGAATAAAACTGCTAGCACCCTTGTGTGTTTTCTCAAAAAGTATAGATTCAGAAATCAAGCAGCACTCATTGTTGTTCATCAAAGTAACTGTTGTCATTATATTTTACTTATAAAACTTAAAAAATCAAAAGAGGTGTATGGTGAGTGTTAGGCACTAACCTGGCTATATTAAGTATGCTCATCAGTGGCAAGGCGAGATAACTGGATGGCTGAATTGCTGGAATAACCGTGTGTGAATTTGGAGAAAGTAATGGCTCCAAGCAACGGCGTCCAAATATCCTAGCAACATCCATGGGAAGCCACCTAAAGAACAAGATACGTATTAGTAACATTTCAACAGGAAGATACACGTTAGGTTCATGTAGAGCCGGTCAAGTTAATATAATAAAATATCTGTGATGGCACAGTCAATAAATATTTTGAAATACAACTTGGCATTAATAATTGAGCAACAGATTCTTACCCATTGCAGTTGAGTGTCAACCTGCTAGCACCTTTTGAAAGAAGTACCTGTGATGGTGGCATTACAAACATTAGAACGTATCAATACATATGCGAAAAGTACAGGCGTGAAATGGTACTTGTCCAAAAATACAATACTCCTTTATGACAGTAACATACCTGGCAACATTCCAGACTGCCCCCACCGGCTGCATAATGCAAAGGAGTACTGCCAGCTCCTGATCCATACAGATACAATTTGAGAACTCGTTTTATTTTAGGTAAGAAAAAATAGCATTATCTACTGCATATCATCTGAAATAAGAATCATCACTCGCCTATCAAATTTGATGTAGTTCCATAGGGAAATGTGACAGCTGAGACATTTGCACCTAACTCAATCAACAATTGCATGCAATCGAAATGACCATTCAAAGCTGCCATGTGAAGAGCGGTAACACCGCCATCAGCAGGTTTGTTGATGTACCTCACACGAGCACTGCACAAAGACAGCGTACAATTGGTTGCTAGTTATTTCAAACAAAATAGACAACACTAGATCAACACTTGACAAAATACATACGGTTCATTAAACTTGAGTCCCAGTGAAGAAGTAGGACTGCTGCCGCTATTCGTCTGAGAATCACCGCCATCTGCCACCGAAGAGGCAGTATCCTCCAAGGGCCCACTTGGGATGAAGTCGGCAAGTAACAGCCTTACACACCGAACAAGTCCGTCGTGTGCTGCAAAGTGCAATGCCGTTCGACCACTCAAGTAATCCGCCCTGGTAACCTTCCAAGCAACCGAAACAGAAGCAGCAGTCAGCACCTTCCTTGTCTCAGGGCAGAAATGGTACACATTGTAAAGACCATATCAGAAATACCACCATACATTGCATCTGAAGAGCAGAAGCATCTGAACCACCTCCCAGTGTCCATGCCGGCATGCATGCATCAATGCAGTCTTCATCCGCCCATCCAAGTAAAGAAAACAATCAGCTAAATGATTCGACTCGCAGAAAGGATTGTAGAGACTGATCGAAATGTAACACATGTTTATCCCGTGGGCGAGCACAGGGCAGGAGACCACGAGAGCCCAACAAGAATTCAGTTTTTGGCTTGCCCCGATATTGCAAAGATCAGGTACTACTACTTTCACTAGAAACACGACGCGGTGGCTGCCAATTTCAGCACGTATAAATGACAGATCTTCCATTTTTGGGGGGAGATTCCTGTCCTATCCATGAAATGGTACTCGGACAGAAAGATCTACCTGGCCGCAGTAGTTCCGCGCGTTCACATCCGCGCCCTTCTCCAGCAGCAGCGTCACAATCTGAAAACCAAAAAACCCACCGGTCCGTGAATCAAATCGAACGGGAAACCACGCAGGCGGGCGCGTATATAGAATCGCAAGGGAGAGCGGCACGGACGTCGAGGTGGCCCTTGGCGGCGGCGAAGTGGAGCGGGGAGTTGAGGCCGCCGAAGGTGGAGTAGCGCGCGAGCGCCGGGCTGAGCTCGAGCAGCATGCGCGCCTCGACGGCGTCCCCGTCCCGCGCCGCGGACACCAGCCGCTCGCCGGACGCGGAGCACCCCAGCGAGTTCCCCATCGCCGCCCTCCTTGCCCGCCCGCGCCGGCGAGCGGCGTCCTCGTGGGCACGGGCACGCCGCACGGACCTACGACGGTCGGCGGGATCGCCGGCGGCGAGGCGTGCGGCCGTAATTTAGGGGCGGGGGGGCGGTGGTGGGTCGTCTTCGCGTCTTGCGTTCTGGGGTCTCAAATTTTTCCCAGGCCCGGAACAAGGGGGAGGAGCAGGAGGAGTACAAGGCTTTGGATTTGATTTTTATATTTCCATTTTCATCCTCGCTTTATATATACTCTTGGTTTAAAATGTACAGTATTTTTATTTTTAAAATAGTGTGAGAGAAAAAAATATAAATATCTTTTTGGCATGGCTCATGTGCCGCCGGGACCACATGAGTATAGATTAGTAGCCGCGGCTTGTGTGGGGTGTGATGGTGCTTAGTGACTGATGGAGTTGGTTTAGATGATGGTCACGGGCCAAGCTTTTTCACCTTTTTGGTTTGCTTGGACGGATGAGTTTCAAGTTGTTGTTTTTCACTTCTTTTTGTTCGCCTTTAGTGAGCCCGGTAAAGTTGCCATTCATGGCTGATTGGCAACACTACCTAACAAGTAACCACTAATTGACCTGCTTGTACCATCTCTAAACACAAAACCGTCTCTTTCCCCACCTCTTGGTGATGTGTAGTATTCCTAGAATTCATACATACATACATACATACATAAATACATGCATGCATACATGTATGATGGTGTCCAGTGTGTCCTAGTTGTATTATACACTTGTACTTCCTCCGTTTCAAAATAGATGACTCAACTATATACTAACTTTAATATAAAATTGGATCATCTATTTTAGAACGGAGGAAGTAACAATTAAGCAAAAAAACAGAGACATGAAACAAAAATGGGGCCAATGAGGTAACTCGGGTGAGGTACGCGTCCTACTTGTATTATACGCTCGCAACCTTTAATTTTTTATAAGAAAAAAATGAAAAAATGAAACAAAAATGGGGTCAAATATGGTAGGCGGGCGGGGGTGTGGTTGGGCGCTCGCAAATCACATGTTTTGATATGGACGGCGGGTTTGTCCTCCGATGATGTCCAGCAAGAAAAGAAAAGAAAGCAGGTCGGGACACGGGACAAAGTTTCTGAGGTGGACCGATGGACGGCACTTGCTGTACGGCCCAAGATCACCCACCCAATGTGATTTATCTCTAGCTCTAGGTGTGCCTATTGAACAGGTCGCAGTCGCTGATTGGTGATATATTTATATCGAGTCGGTGTCACCGATGGTTCATCAGTAAGCATACCATCGTGCCATTATTAATGGCCGGGTGTCTGAGTGACTCATTGCATCATACTCGATGGATGCGTGCTACTGTTGACTTAAATGTTCCAAGCGACTTCACAACGTTGTCGGTAGAAGAATGGCTAGGCTGTGTTTGTACGATGTCACAATTATCTAGTGAATTTATATGGAAAACTTTCCAAAAAAATGTTCAAAAACAAAAAGAATCTTTCACGGGATATTTGTCCTCTCCTAACACGCATCACCCAAAAAATATCGCCACTGCTGCCTGCCGTGCCAACTTGTCACCACCAAGACAACAACCTTGCACGTAAAGTATCCGGGGGCAAAGGACACGTCCTCGGCTATCTGCATCTGGTGAGGTTTCGTTGAGCTACCACACTACACTTGTCACCCATCTTCCCTTTCTGCAGATCGCACCGGAACGGAAGCCTCGGTTGGGCTGGCCAGATAAACAAACAATTTGCATCATCATATTCATTCATATTGGAGGCACATGTAAGTGGACCAGGCTCTTGTTTTAAATGGAGACGGTTTGATTGTCAATACCACTACCAGATCTGGTGATCTGTAGTACTTCGATTGCACTCGCATAGAAGCAATGCATGTATGATTATGCTGGCCTTGATGATGGTCGAAAACGCATCTGCTGGCAACTTGGTCAAGTCAAAAGGTATCCACCATGAATGCCTCGGATATGGGATTCGAATTTGAATCCCATGTCAATACGAAGCGTGACATCATCATTTTCATGCTTCACTGAGAAAATTCTGAAAGCTGGAAACGAGCAACATACTATTCTTTCATCAAACGACATAAACACATACACTTAAAACAGGGGCCCACAGCAGTGTGGGTGGGTCTGGGCCCTGGGCACATGCCCGCGGTTGCCCTTCTCTAGCTCCAGGCCAGTCCAGGCCAGCCGGGGAGTCTACTCCAGATCAAATCCACGACGAGCCATGGATATGCTCGCGGTGTCCGGTCTCCACCCGCACAGTGGCGCCGAGAAATAGCGACCGCTTCTCCAGCCGCCATCTCTCTTCACTTCCTCATATGTTCAGGAATGATCCGGTGGAGTAGCTCAACAGGGAGGCCTTCTAGCTCTGCAGCACATGTCCATGGGTTGTACGTATCAGGTATCAGGTAAGCGTACCAAAAAACTCAACAGCACGGTGTAGTTTTTACAGTTCAAAACAATCGCAGAGTCTATGTATGGTTATTATTTACCAGCTCCCGAGAAGTTGAATAATGGTGGTAATGGCCGTCCATTTGGCAAGCAGGTCTTGGGATCCCGCAGTTCATCGAAGAACGGATGGGCACAAGCATCGACCTGCAAAAATGTCTAGTCAGAATAGTACTCGCCTTTTTCAAGGATTTCTCTTCTTTCATTCATGAATTTAGGTCTAGTTTGGTTTGCGTCCTGGGAAAGTCTCGCCTGGCCTGGGACGTCCCTGGAGGTTGCCTGTAAGTTGTTTGGTTCAGGTCCTCAAGATGCCAGGTATAGCCTGGCCTGGGTTTGCATGCAAGTGATTAGCCTGGACAGTGAAGCCAGGGAGATAGTTAGCCTGGGCCAGGAGTAAGAATTGGAGCGCCTGGCGAACACTGCAGCTGCCTGGGCTCCTTTAATTCTTTAATTAAAGAGACTGTTCTTCGTACATGGGCTCATGAGCTGAATTTTTCATTCATAGTGAACTATCCAGGCCAGGGTGGTAACCAAACGCCTCTCATCCAAAGTTGCCTGACCAGGCAGCAAAACAAACAGAAAATGTGTCCATGCCAGGCAACGCTATTGCCCAGGCATGTGGCCGTGGACACCAACCAAACTGGCCCTTAGTAGGGCCGTGATTCACAGATGCCAGGACAACACAACACTCTTCTTAGAAGCAACCATACTGTACTTTAGCTAGAGAAAAATGTACTCCCTCCGTCCCATAATATAAGATCTTATTGCATCCAATGTGGATGTAATAAGATCTTATATTATGGGACGGAGGGAGTATACTTTAGCGTTAGCAAGCAATGAATTTGTGCTGACTTGTTCATAGGTTGGTTCAAATAGCCCAAGGATAAAATCATTCTTACAGCTGTGCAGCGCAGATTTGGTGAGTACTGAAGTAGCCTTGACACAAGATCAACTGCTTCAGGTGGCATACGCTTACCAAAAAGCTGCATGCAAAAGAAAATTAGGCAAGCATGTTACAGCGGTCTAGGCTAACTGAATACATATAGAGAGGTTACTAACCTTGTGCCAGGGATGAGCTTTTATCTGAGGGAACTTGAATTCGGAGTAGTTTGGGTTCATGCATCTGATTTCTTCTCTTGTTGGGGTACCCAAAATCTAGAATAGGGAGAAGAAATGATGACTTCAGCCTACTGATTTTAATTACTAGACTTTAATGGTTTGGCGGGAGATGCAAACCTTTATAATTTCAACCAACTGATCAACGCCACTTTCTCCAGGAAACAGAGGCTGCAATTTCCCCCAAAAAAAGAGAACTCAACAAAAAAATCCAGCTCATGTACAAAAAAGAGTTTGTCGACAGGAAAGTAATAATCAACTTGATTTTTTCCATGAAAGTATTAGCCCTCTAAAGTGAAGCAACTTCAAATGAATTTGATAACATCTGCATAATTTAACAGAGCTTGATTTGTGCAGTATTTGCTTATCCGGATACTCCACTGTTCTTGTAACTAAATACCATTACTTTCAGCTATAAAAGGAGTCATACGATCTATAATGATAAACAAAAAATTCACTGTTCAAGGAAGCATAACTTCAATTAATGAACTTGGCTGCAAGAAAACTGAGCTTCTAGAATGAGATTCTATACCTGACCAATCAGAAGCTCAGCTACTACACAACCAACAGACCAGATATCAATTGCTGTGGTGTACTCTGTAGCTCCAAATATTAGTTCAGGAGCCCTATAATACCGCGAGCAGATGTATGAGATGTTTGGCTCTCCAGGGACCTAAAATAGAGCCATGTACTGTCAAATACATGTAAAAACACATGACCAAGAAAATAAGTGACAAAAACATACCAGTTTTTTAGCACTCCCAAAATCACAAAGCTTAAGTTTATGCATATGAGGATTGACCTGGAAGATTAATCCATTGCAGTAAGTTGATCATTACGTATGATACAATCAAATAATATTTTAGAATATTGCAGGCAGTCATCATTGAAGGAGGGAACCTGCAAGCATGCAATGATACTGCATGGTTCAAGCAAGAAGATATGTCTAATAAAAGTCCAATGAACTTACCAACAGATTTTGCGGCTTAATATCTCGATGGCATACACCAACAACACGATGGATAT